TTTTTGAACTGCATTTATGCAGGAAGAGTCCCTGGTTCCCCAACTACATACAGCATAACTAACAACTGACTATACCATAATATCGTGAAGTTTTTGGAAAGTTTTAACTTCCATCAGTTTTACTCTTTACAATTAACAATCATAATGCTCTACTGGCTGATTTTGCTACTGCTTTAGTCATTAACTGATTATCTAAAAAAAAATCGGCAACAGTAAGCCTAAATATTTATAATTTTGTTTACACATTCTGTAACATTACCACTAATAGAAAAAATAAAATTATTTGTACAACAGATAGATTTCTAAAATGCATGATCTTAGATTTATTAATATTAAATGTGAGCTCATTATTGAGACACCATATGCATGTACTAAGCACATCCAACATTTTTTAGTAAATCTTCTTCATTTTCAGCAATTAAGATAAAATTAGACACTTTTACTGCCTGGTGTTTACTTGAGTCTTTCTTGGTTGGTTTTATAATTCTTAGGCAATGATTTAGTAATTAGGTACATGTTTGTTAGTATCCATAGTTTAACGTAGATGTTTAAGTTGTATCATGGATTGGGTGATATAATTGGTTTGTTTCTTAGAGGGAAGTGGGTATGTTAAGCATTCATGTTAATAAGAGAATTAAAATTGAGAATGGAAATGGGGAATGTGTCAAAGAGACAACAACCCGACCATAGAACAGACAACAGCAGAAGGTCACCAACAGGTCTTCAATGAAGCGAGAAATTCCCGCACCCGGAGGCGTCCTTCAGCTGGCCCCTACACAAATATATATACTAGTTCAGTGATAATGAACGCCATACTAAACTCCAAATTGTACACAAGAAACTAAAATTAAAAATAATACAAGACTAACAAAGGCTAGAGGCTCCTGACTTGGGACAGGCGCAAAAATGCGGCGGGGTTAAACATGTTTATGAGATATCAACCCTCCCCCTATACCTCTAGCCAATGTAGAAAAGTAAGCGCATAACAATACGCACATTAAAATTCAGTTCAAGAGAAGTCCGAGTCTGATGTCAGAAGATGTAACCAAAGAAAATAAACAAAATGACAATAATACATAAATAACAACAGACTACTAGCAGTTAACTGACATGCCAGCTCCAGACTTCAATGTATTTATTCGGCAATCTATATTATACCAGTCTGACAAATATTACAATTATCACAGCATACAGTTATGTGTGTTATGTTAATGTTCTTTGACATGTACCACATGGCCATGGTGAAGTCATGTATACAGAATTAGTTTCTGTATCATAAGCAATTAGTAGTAAGCATAGCTATAGTTTTGTTATTTTCTGTATTTCTAAGTCAGAATGATATGCCAGGGTTTTTCGTTTCCTATCATGATTTCCTTGATATATGGTTTCTACTTACAAGCAAGCCACTGAACCAAAGGTTCAGAATGTTAAAGTGGAAGTCATCCCTTCAAAAGTTTTACAACCACATCGTGGTTTGGTTGATCGTTATGGAACATTTGTGTCGTTGATGACGACGAATATCTGTAACTGGTCGTAACCTTAAACACGTCCTCTTTTTCCTAGATTGTGACATCATCGAATGAGACTTATCGCGGATTATATTCTTGCGATTAGTAACCCGACGGGACCACAAGTGGAGCTGGAATTGTCTTCCTTTCCGAAGTACACGAGTTCACCTACGGTTATTAGCGAGGTTCGTGACACACAATCTTTAGTTTTATGTGTAGTGTTTTGTGGACTATTGTTTGTGTTTTGATTGATTTTTTACCATGGTGTTGCATGGTTATTTGGGTTTTTTTTTTTTTATCAATTGATGGTATTTTTAAGTGTAAGGTGCTTTTGCGCCACAGTCAACATGCTGACTCTTCTGTCTCATTTTTATTTGACGTTATGACGTTTCGATAGCTTTTATGACTTATCATACAATATTTTAAGAATTGCGTGGCTATCCTAAAAGATAATCGATTGTTCTTGTTCACTAGAACATTTTATACAAGATTCTATAAAAAGTATAGTACATATGAAGGGATTAAAGTTAAAACGCAATAAGCTGCATACCTAAGATATGAGTTTTAGAAAAAGGGACACATGTAAAGTGGTATCTAATAGTGCTTCAGAAAACAGGGAAACTATTAAATAAGCATATCAACAATCGGAAGCATCGTGATGTCTTGATACAGCCATGGAAAAAATGACAATTAGAGAACTCCAGGATTCCTCAATGATCGTATTTGGAAGGACTCTTCAGGAGTAAAAAATGCAAAAATATCTTATCCAATTTTTGACATTTTTACCTATTATGTCTGTTTGTTTTGCTCACACATTGTTATCAATATAATGGAATTTTATGCGACTGTCATATAAGTGAGAGGTTTAGTTTAATCCACCATTTTCTACATAAGGAAATGCCTGTACCAAGTCAGGAATATGACAGTTGTTTCCCATTCGTTTGATGTGTTTGAGCTTTTGATTTTGCAATTTGAATAAGGACTTTCCGTTTGAAAGAATTTAGGCAGTGGTTATTTTGCCGGCGCCATGCTATTTTGCCGGCTCTAATTGAAATATTTAAATAAAGTCGGCAAAATAGCATATATATATATATATCTATAGCAATAGCTATTTTGCCGGCGCCAGCAATATGGTGAATTTGTTATTTTTGACGGTTCTTTGTAAAGAGTGAATCTAAATATTCACTTTTGAAAAATACTACAAAAATGTGCATTGTCAACATAAGAGAATCAAGCTCTTACTCATATAGTTAAACAAGATACCAGTATCAATATTTGAGATCCATTGATGTTTAACGCCTTTATTGTGCTATTTCGTGGTGGTCAGTTTGTATTGGTGGAGGAAGCCCGAGTGCCCGTAGAGAACCACGACCTTTGGTAGTAAAACTCAAAAAGTTGGACAATTAAGATTGGAGTCGAGCTCACCTGCCATGTGCGGTATTCGGACTCACAACCTCAGTATTGACAGGCTAGTGATACAGAAGTTCGACTATTTTTTTTCTCTTGATAAAATTTTATTAAAATGTGTACAATAAAAATTCACCAGACAGTACCTGTTGTCACAAACAAACAGTTACATGTAGCCAATTAAAACAATATCAAAAGCAATTCAACAAAAGTACAAATTTGTTAATTCTATGACATATCAACTAGTATAGCTTAGAATTAATACAATATTTCCGCATGGCCATCTGTTACTTTAATAACAGAATTGTCTAATAATAGATATATTTTTCTAATAATAAATGTTCTTTTCTCAGATTTAAAAGATAAAAAAAAGTGAGAGATGTATTTTTCTAACAATGTTTTAAAATAGTCTACTAAATTGAGTTTAGCTTGAGGATCCAACAATACGAAATTTCTTTTCTTATAGATACTTAATCTTGCTATACTCAAAATAAAATTTGCGAAATAAAAATTAAAACCGTTACTTTTTCTTCAAAAAAAACAATTAGCATCGTTTGGTCAAAATCAAGCCTGGGGAATGCAAAGAACTGAATTTTCAAGTACTTCATAGAACTTTGTTTTCTAAAGTTAAACTTTTGGAATATAACATGTCTGATAATGACACTTGTCCGGTGTGTAAACAATCTAGAGAAGATTTAAAATGTAAATTTGAAAATTTGAAAGTTCTAATTCTGGATACTTTTCAATTCTAATAAGTTCGACTATTTAGACCATTCGGCCACCGAGGCTTCCTTTTCGAAATATTTATAATAGTTTTAAAAATATTTATCAGTCAAAGTGAAAATAAGAATTTGTAAAAAAGAAATAAAAATAAAAATATTAGGAATTCATTTGCAGCGATGAAATCATATCCAAGCATGTAGTTGTAATTACAATGTACATGTGTGCTTCTAACATCAGTCACAGTGTAATACTACATGTATGCATAAGAATAAAATCACAGATTGTTTAACTGTATATTGTAAAAAAAATAATAGTATAAAACATTATATGCAATCTAGCAAAATCAATCACATATATAGCTTCAAAATCAAGGATGTTTGACCTAAATTTGCTTTTGAAATATTAATAAACTCATTATAGATACCAGGATTGAAATTTTGTTTCGTCTTCAAAAGACTCATCAGTGACGCTCGAATAAAAAAAGTTAAAAAGGCCAAATGAAGTACGAAGTTGAAGTGCATAGGACCAAAAATTCCTAAAAGTTTAGCAAAATACAGCTAAGGTAATCTATTCCTTAGGTAGAAAAGCCTTAATTAGTATTTCAAAAATAAATTCAAAGTTTTGTAAACAGTTAATTTATAATTATGACCATATCAATGATATTAGCAGAGACATATAATACAAGTATTATATGTCTCTGATATCTGTAAACAAAATTATATTTTTTTGGCAAAATTGGATTCCGCTTTCCTAGAGCCAGCAAAATGACCACTGCCAAGTATTTAAATACAATTTTCCTGTACTATCATACAATATTGCGAAAATCCTACTCCTGACTGATGAAGTGCAAACGAGTATTAACAACTTTAAAAAGCTTTATCATCAGCAGTGTTTACTTTGTTCGTTAAATAATTGGCTGTTAGCAGTTAGTACAAAAAAAATGTACACACAAGTTTACAAGTATTCCCCTACACTTTTCCACTTAAACTCTAGCTAGCTCTAATTATTTACGGTCGAATATAAACTCATCATAGATATCAGACTTAAAAATATGCACGCCAGACGCGCGTTTCTGCTATAAAAGACTCATCAGTGACACCGTCGAAACTAAAAAGTTAAAAAGCCAAATAAATTACGAAGTTGAAGACCATTGAGGATTTAATTGAATGGAAGATATGTATGACAAATATTTTGTTTAACGTTTAAAAACACTTCGAAATCCACCTGAACAAGCTTCTTATTGGATTTACCACTGGAGAGAGGAAAAAGGACAAAAAATATTTAAAAAACTTTCTCTTGTAGTGTGGTGAATGTATAAACGCGGAAATCTAACGCGTCTACCCCTGAATCATAATCCGATTACACATTAATTTTTGTGTTTTCTGTTATTTCCCGCCATCTCAGCTATTTTCTATTCTCCTCTTTAAAATGTGGAATAATCAGGGAGGTAAGGCACTATGGTCAGATCCACTCGACAGAAAGCGATACCTGAATGTATAATGTGTAGTTCAATATCAATAATGTTGGAGTTTTTAGAATTATGCGACTCTACAGCTTTGACTTTGTAAAAATGTCCCACTCCCTGGCCTGGGCCACGGATTTGTATATCATGATCTATAGAACAATACAAATCCTTGCCTTGGTCTAGGGCCTTATTACAAAGTGAATGGAGAACGCAATTAGTTAACTGTTGAACAGTTGAAAAATTATGTTGTTCAAGATGACAGCAGTTCTCATCATGTTTTTGACGAGCCTGCAAAATATATTTCATGAAAGCAAGACATAGCGATCCTAGATTCTGTTGTCGGCCTCTGCGTCCTCAACATTTAGGTCCAGTCTGTGGTATGTCAACCGAAATTTTATTGTCTTCCCACAGCCGATTGGAAATACAAGACTTAGCAGTAAATGATTAATATTATAAGTAGTTCCAAAAACCTGTTAGTTTTTATCTGAATAGAACTTATCATCCAGATAGTAAATTTGTAAAAGATTCTGTGAAAAAAAATCTAACAAGTGTTATTTGAGGTATGTCTAATGAGTTACGAGTTTCTATTTTTAGACTCAAATTTTTCCACTCCATCAATGTCATTCAGACTCTCTGGACTTGACATATAGAACATATAAAACAGGTATTTTTCCATACCTGTACAGTTTGCAGCAGATATTTGCAATAGTAAAGCAAGTATTATATATCAGTTATTAAAGGTCCATGTGTGTAACCAATGTAACCATTGCTTCAATGAGGCTGGGAACAGTATATCTAAAGGGAAATGAATCTGATACGCTTTTCAGTATAAAATTGATAAAATCTCAGACTCCCCGAGACTTCCCGAGATTTACGGATTTTGGTAGCGTCTGACTGAAAAACTATCAGAACTGCTCAACAAATAAACCACACAACTCTAATTGTAAATAAATACAAGTTTTATCATTTAGAAGATATATTTTGTCATATAAAATTACCAAAATAAGTTTGATTTCTTTGATGTGAAGTGTTTTATAATAGTTTGGGAATTTGTAAATCATCGCCGCAATGGCCGCCATTTTTTTATTACCTTGTTTGCCTTCTGCACAATTCTGTGATGAAATGCTTGCGATTTTAACAAATTTGAAGTGACAGAATACAAGTTTGATACACTAGCATCACTATAAAACTAGTTTGAATGACATTTTATGGATAATATCAGAAATTATTAGGATAATAGCGAGTCCGTTTTTAACACATGTCCGTTTCTGTATCGTATCTTTATTAACTATGGCACGACGATAAAATCGACTACAATCAGGTAGTGTCAAGTCCCGTCAATATATATGTTCCTGAATGAGGGTAACAAAACAAGATACCTATCTTCAGGTGCACATTTTGTGCCATATCTAATATAGAATGAGATCAAGAAACATTTATTTTTAGCAATAAAATTTGGCCAATCAGAAACAAGAGATATATATAAGAGAGAGGAAAGATACTAAAGGGACAATTATAATTAACCATTTACTGCGAGTTTTATATTTCCAATCGGCTGTGGGAAGACGAAATAATTACGGTTGAAATACTTGGGGAGGCCTGCTACGAATGATTGCGACAACAAAGGTAGGCGTGTTATACACCATTGTGTAGATAAATAATTTAGTTTTACGGCATAAGTTTTAGTGGGGTCGAAAACCTAGACACGAAATATAACGGAAGTTCGCGACTTGGGTGACATTTTTCAAAATTGCGAGTTAAGTACTTTGTGTTATATAAAGGTATAATATAGGATTTTTTTCAGAGACAAGTGCCTGTGGGAGGTGGGGCGGGGGTCTGATCCCGGATCCTGCTTATTGTTTTGTCAGATTCCCATATGCCACCTATCATTGTAATAATAACGTTTGTTATTTCACATGTCATGCTTGACTTCGTTTCCCGTTTTCACGCTCAATAATTTTACTTCACGTGTCACGCTTACCTAAATTCTGCCAATCTCACATCAAGCTTAGACCCCAATGAGACCCACCTAACTGAGTCAAGTGTGATGATTTAAAAGGAAACATCGTTCCCAAGACACTTCGACTGAAATACTATCGGGATATAAGTTTACACCCCTTATTAAATTTGCAATTCTCATAAAAGTCAAATTGCATGTGGATTTACTAGTGTAGGAGTATTTGAATAGGAGATTGTTTCTTCTCTGCACTTATTTAATTGTTTTAAATTTTTAACCACTTTTTGGCCAAGAACTGTTTTCATAATAAATTAGTATTCACAATCAAATTTCTTTTTAAATATAAAATAGTTATCATTTTTAGGGGTCTATTGATTATAGAGGGAGTCAAAAAGAAATGATGTACAATGTTTTGATGATGCCTGATGGGTTTATTTCCTAAAAATTAACGAGGCGGTAGGCCAAGATTTTTTGTCACAGGAGATTGGTCAAGAGAGAATTCAGTTTGCAAGTAAATAAAAAAGCCATCTGCCAATTTGGGGAGGATAAGGATAAAAAGGGTTTCTTTCACTAAATACCAGACAATCAACCTAGTGAGCATGTAAAATGAGAGGATACTGAACAATGAAATTAAGCCATTAGTAATGTAAAGGTCCTGATCGACTGACATGTTTTGTACAATATTGTAGGTTTCCAAGGGTATGGTGAACAGTCACAAGGAGGGGGAGGATATATGTCCCCAGGATTTGGCACACCGAAAGCAGGTCAAGATAAGAAGGTATTCTAAACAGTATCAATGAAGATCACAACAAAAAATGAATTATGAGTTCTTGAGATAAGGTGCACATTACCGATTTTACATTTTAGCTCCAAAAAATTAACTTGCTAAGAAAAATTATATACAAAATTCTATTTGTCATCTACATAGATATAGGAAGATGTGGTATGAGTGCCAATGAGACAACTCTCCATCCAAGTTACAATTTATAAAAGTAAACCATTATAGGTCAAGGTACGGCCTTCAACACGGAGCATTGGCTCACACCGAACAGCAAGCTATAAAGGGCCCCAAAAATTACTAGTGTAAAACCATTCAAACGGGAAAACCAATGGTCTAATCTATATAAAAACGAGAAACGAGAAACACGTATGTAAAGACAGAACTATACTTTTATTAAAACAAAAAAGAAGTAAATACATGTAGTCCATTACAATAAGTTTGTTCTGCGTATTTGTAATCATTCTGTAAGATTTAAGTTAAAGGCTTTGTGAATCAGTAGTTTCAAACATGTATGTCACAGTCATAGATGCAGTCCCCTCCAAACTGGCAATGCAAGACAGTTATGATACATATATTATCATGATTATAAAGCTAAAATACAAAGTAAAAGATCTACACACTCGCATTTGATAAGATTTAATTTTACCACCAACATAAACCAGATTTATAAACAAATTAAAAAACCCATCCTTATGCAATTACAACTTTTACTTCATGTGCATATAATTATAATGTCATGTGTAAAGAAAAGTCTTGAGTTTTATTTGTTACCTATGATTTTATAGTCAGGATACAGAGCACAGAATCTGTTACCAGTTACAGTTGCTGAAGTATTCAATGCTAGTCAATCTGAAGACAAATTCTTCTCTGGAGAAATAGAAATTTCACAGGTAAGCTACTTTAATCTTTTTAATATATTAAACAAGGCCCTTAAGATCATATAATTTATATATTGTTCAATGATTATCCATATCCATGTGTCCTGTATCAGTTTTGGTTTTAAAGGTAATAACCTTATAACGATGATGTCCGGGTAAGGTACATGTAACATGTCTTCCTGCAGACTGTTACCTTGTGAACTAGCACGTTAAAAATCCAGCTCAGGGTGTCGGTCTAGTACAAAGCAGGGTTGATATTCATATTACATAAACATTTTCTTGTCTTGAATATGCATATTAATTTGCCATTGACATTAAGCAGCCATCCATCATCATCGTCATCATCATCATCATCATCTTCAATTGGATCTTAGCTTCATACTTTTATAGAAGTATAGTGTAATGAATACTTGGTTAAAGGCAGTATAGGATATATTGTACAAATTGAATATCAATCCAGGATGAACTTAACATTTATTATGTTTATACTATAATTGCTTCTAACCATTGTGAAAAAAATCATAAAAAAAAAAACTATTTGAGATTTTAAGGTTGAGCCCTTGTAAAATTATGTTCACAAAACAAAATAAATACAACAGTATTTAAGTTGTTATTTCTATTATAAGATTACTATGGTTGGATTAGTGACATCAGTTAAAGAATCTCCTACAAGAATTGATTATGAAATAGACGATATGACAGGTCCCCCTATCAGTGTAAAACAGTTTGTTGATAATGATGTAAGTATAAGTTTAATTAGTACTGAATAAAAATTTCTAAGATATCTTATTGCCTACAATGAAATTTATACATTATGATAACGTGTAATCACTATTTTGAATTCAGAAATTTTCCAATAGGGATTTTTTTAGGCTATTCCCCCGCCGTATCGGAGGGGTTATTAAGTTTTACCCTTGTCCGTCTGTATTGGTTTCTGTTCTCTAACTTTAGTTTGCCTCAACCAAATGTTATAAAACTTATACACAATGCTTATTACCACAAAACACAGATCAAGTTTGAATTTTGGTGGCGTCACTTTTACCATTCTACAGTTATGCCCCTTTACAAATGGAAAAATTGTTGAATTTGTTTCCGTTCTATAACTTTAGTTTGCCTCAACCAAATGTTATGGCACTTATACACAATGCTTATTACCACAAAACACAGATCAAGTTTGAATTTTGGTGGCGTCACTTTTACCATTCTAGAGTTATGCCCCTTTACAAATGGAAAAATTGCTGAATTTTTCGTTTCCGTTCTCTAACTTTAGTTTGCCTCAACTAAACATTATGAATCTTATACACAATGTTTATTACAACAATACCCATATCAAGTTTGAATTAAGGTAGCGTCACTTTTACTGTTCTTGAGTTATGTCCCTTTATAATGTTATATGCAAGCGTGGGCATCATCTGTGTCCTATGGACACATTCCCCACTTATTTGCACATGAAAAAGACCTGAAAAAAGATTTTGTGGAATACAGTTCATTTTCAAAAAAATGCATGTGTGACATTTTTCTACAGAACTGTTAAGACAGTAAAGGAGTTGTAAGGGCCATGTTAAGCCCCAATTATTAAGTTCAATGTTTCAAGATAAAAAAATGGTTTTAGGTTGATGATAAGACATGTGAGAAAGTTAAATAGAACTTTTTTTGTCAAAGTTTTACTTCAAAGCGTTGAATTTTACATCCCAAAAAAGTTAAAAACAGAGATTTTTGGGAAATTGAACCAAAATGTCCAGATTTCAAATATTCAAGTCAGATATGTTAAATGTCATAACAAACATTATGTAAAAAGATATTTTTGGAAAATGACGCTATCAGCGGCATGTTTCCGATACCATTGACCAGAACTAACGGAAGTTGATTATGCCTCCGCCTACCGCACTCGGTTTCATATTTACTATTTTACATACTAACTGGAATCTGCTTGTATTACGCTACACTCGAACAAAGTCTTTGTTAAAGTGTTGTAGTCGGACGGGAACCAGTTTACATACGTTATTTTATTTACCAAAAAGATATCTTGACCTGTCCATATGTTTTTTGTTATTAAATGGTATTTGGAGCTATCCCTTTGTTATATTTTTCATATTTATTCGAGCTTTCACTTTTATGCACATGTCTTACAATCGTAAACAATCGGTATGTATACATGATAAATAGATCCGTTTTGTTATGGTGTTGGACTTTTTACCCTCCAATGATCAGCAATCGCTAGACAAAATAGTTCTCCTAAATAATGTCAGCCTTTCATGCCATTTCAACTTTACAATCATTAAAAAAGTAATAATCGGAATCATTTTGATATCCATTGGATAGAAACTGGTCTTTATCAAGATTTACGAAGATTTTAATAATCGGAAATTAGTAATACGGTTATACCCACGCGGTGCGTATGAATCTTTGTTCACAAAGTTATAGCAGCAGAGTCTGTAACTGTATCATTATTAATTAACTACACTGTTATTGTACTTCAAATGATGAAAACTGCATATGCAATATAAGATGTCAACTCGGCCAATACAGATTTTTTCCGTATTGGCCGAGTTCTGATCCGGCCAAAACAGGATTTCGGAACGTCTCTAGTTTTTAGATCGTAAGTCACGATAAACTCAAACTGAAAGTAAACAGTTGTTTGTACGACGCAGTTTTTATTTACTCACCATAAACAAGCTGAAACGTTCAGTATGGCATATATTTTAGGTTAAAGACGGTCCCATTCATTTGAAAAGCATTTTGAAAGTAGACGATGGAAATATTTCAGGTTTAGGGAACGAGTAAATTATCACAAAGTTCATTTCTTGACGACCTCATAATTTCATCATGTCGATTTTTACTGTTCATTTTCGCTTCTCATGTTTTGTAAACGGTCTTTTATTTTTAAACCCGAACCAGGCATATGCATTCTGTAATTGCGCAAATCTTCGTTCTTTGGTCAATTGGCTTAGGGATAGTTGTATCAATTTCAACTCTTACATTATTTTTTTTTAAATATATTTGCATTACACATGCAATGGCAGTACCTTTCCAATTACTATTTATGTGTTGTGTCTAAATTAAAGTTGTAACACTTTATAGTGACTGGAAAGGGTAGAAAAATTCATCAGATGAGAAAAGGCTGAAGATGCATGGAAACGGCACCAAATCATTAGATATTGCAGCTTATAAAAAGAAACTGAGATTTGGATAGTTCCACTTCAAGGTAAAAATGTTTATCTCTTGTGAAATGAAATAAAAAAATATTGTAACACTGTAGTTAATTAATAAAGATACTATTACATGTATTTCTGTATTGGCCTTATTGTTGGTCCTCGGCCAGCAGTATTGGCCTTCGGCTTCGCCTCAGACCAATACACCAAGACATGGACCAATAACAAGGACAATACAGAAATACTTACGCAATAATATTATAGAATGACAGTATGGTTCAATAGCGGGAATCAGCCCCTCAACTACTTTTTACATAAATATTAACTTCTGGCTTCAACTCCTTGTTCGTCTTGTCTGGAGATCTTGTTGTAGTTCCAGTTAGGCAAGCATTTTAGAGATGTATCCCGTCCATCCTCTCTTGACTTGTAATTTCTGGTGATAGATTTTGCCGCTTGACGTATCTTTTCAAGCTTGTTTTTTTTTTGTTACCGTGTAGGGGTCCCATACTATGGCTCCATATTAAATTGTAAGATCCATTCCTAAAGGTCTAGATCATTGTTCTAATCTGACACAAATTTCAATAACTGGAATGCTACCCGAGTTGAATATATGGTGACCTACTAGAACAGCATTATCACTATTGGAATTGTGTTTAGTACCATGATTGTTCAATGTCATTAACTTAAATGGAGACAGACATTTGACCTGAAAGGTGGTGTGGGAGTGCAAAATCAAAAACTAACTGACTATGATATATGGTTAAAGAATGAATATCAATTACATGGGTCAACATGGTCAAGGGCAGAGTTGTTATGAAATAACAGTATGGCAGAGAAGTGGTTTCAAGTTTCATATAAAGCGACCTGACTGACATGAAATAAAAAATCAAAGGAGTATCCCTATTTGTCTAATCTTCAAGGTGAAATAAAACTAGTAAAACAATATTATACTATTGTCTAAATCTACAGAAATATAATTTGCTTCAAGTAACAGAAATAACTAGGTCACTAGTAACTTATTTAATGAGTATGTGGGGTATAAGAGCTTGCTAACAACAGGCTCTTCATAATCATTTGGTTTGAAAAGGATACTAGTAGTCTATATTCTTGATTTAGAAAAATGTAATTGCAAGACAAAAATCACATTACTTAGAATACTTTAGATCATTCAGGTAGTCTTTATTTATATGTACAAAAGAACAGCCAGTAGTCATTGGATATTGTAGATCATTCAAATAGTCTTGACCTATTTATTAGTACAAAAGAACAGCCAGTAGTCATTGGATATTGTAGATCATTGTGGTAGTCTTGACCTATTTATTTATAGAAAAAAACAGCCAGTAGTCATTGGATACTGTAGATCATTCAGGTAGTCTTGACCTATACATTTGTACTAAAAAAACAGCCAGTTGTCATCTTCACATAACACACACATATACGAATATCAATTATGTGCTTATGAGACATGTTGGAATGTTAAACTAATTACGGTATGTGAAAATCAAGACTTGCATAAAAAATATCACAATATTAGAGACAGTGGCGTCATTTTTCCTCAGAGCTTTCAGCTCTTTGATTTGTCTATGCATGCGCTATGTGTTTCCTGTCCAAAAAATCAATGTAAATTTACCTGTTTTGATCGAATTTTCACTGAAAATCAAAATGAATGCTATTTGTGATGTCTTTAATTGAATGCAAGAACATAAATTTTCAGTAAAAGACGTATGTCCTATCTAGTCATTATATTAGCTATGATTCGTTGTGACATTGGTCAATAAATTCTAATTTTGAAATGTAAGCTAGAATTGGGGGTCATTTTAGGGCCATTTGTTTATATTTATTAAAAACATCCAACTATAAGTTGCAAAAGGCAATTCATGTGTTTAACTTTTTAGCCAGCAAACAATAGTTTCAAGTGTGGTGTTTAGGTCAGTTTAATACAAAAGGCAAAATTATTGTCCATGCATTTCATGTCCTTAAAATGTGTGAACTATATACCTTTTTGATCATGACTAGGTAAGTTTATTGAAACTCTTTTGTATAAGATTGGACTACCATCTCTACAATGTACATGTCAGTTCATATTAACATATTAATAAAGTCCTCAAATCATTTAATAATTTTGGTGGAAGGAAGGGGCTGTTTTGTTTTAGTAAATTTAAAAATCACTTGTCTGGTCCTGTTATCTTACCTCTACAATTATTCAAACCAGGAGAAATTCCATTGGTGTTGTCTTATTTTAAGTGATGTGTTAGATCCGTGTAATAGAAACTATTGGGGCAGTTTAGGTATATGTAGTACATAAAGTTGCTTCTTCAGTTAAATTGATTTACAGTAAAGGATTCATGGTGATGCAACTGTAATTTATATTAAAGTTGTGCAGCTCATCCCCACAATCATATGTGTCCTTAGGTTAGTTTAAAGTGCTTTAAATGTAAAAAAAAGTTATTCTTATATGATGATGATTCTTTTGCTTTGTAAACAAAGCCATGTTTTATTCCAATAAAAAAATGGGATTCAAACACATCAGTTGTATTTTGAACAATGCCAGAGATCAAAATTGACATTTCTGTTGGTGTTGCTAGCTA